CGAACCGTTCTTTGGGTGGTCGTTTTCTCGCTGGAGTACGGTTTTACAGTTTTTCTGGTATAGAAAAGTAGGCCCTCCGGCTGAGCAAATCATGGACGCCATGGCCAAAATAAATGCAGAGAAGATAGGGGATGAGGTTGAAACCATCCAGTGGTATATTGGGAGTCTTTATGGACAGCAACAAGCCCAAAAGATAGTCTACACAGTAAGTATTTATGCTTACCTTGATTGTATTCTTTTCAATAAATGATTATGTACACTAGGTTCAAGCAATTCAGAATGATTCAGAAGAAAAGAAGGAATTACAATATGACGGAGAGCACTGGACAGTACTCGTTCTGGCGCCAGAAGGCTTCTATGACGGCGAGCCGACCTCCCATGAACCGCTTTTTTATAGCCCGTTGTATCGTCTACCAACTGTCATGCTACAGCGGGCGGCGGAGGCTCTAGAGTTCATGATCAAGGATTGGAGTGAGATCCTAACTTATATCGAGGAGCTCTTGGGTGACCAAGAACTAATATTTTCCCCACGCGAGCATGATAAGCTGCTTGAAGACGACAAATCGGGGTCTCGGTCGAGAATGTACTTCTGGGTTATTAATAGCCTCATCACTTTTAGAAGCATAATGGATGAGAGCGCTCAAGTCTACCTCGAGTTCAGAGGTGCAGTTATACCAGAGTTCCCACAGCCAGAGTATTCTTGGGAAGAGCAGGAGATTATGGCGAAGGCTGATAAAACCAAAGAGAACTTCGAAAAACTGGGCACAAGGGCTGATGTGATCCGAGGAAGAGCAACGGTGCTCTTGAGTAGTGTGAGTATCTCGCTCCGCTGTCTTTAAATACCGAAACCCATACTGAAACTTGCCGTACGTAATGCAGTTATTTAATGCCATCTCTGTAGCAGAAAGTCACAGGTCCGCAGACATTACCGAGACTATCGAACGATTAACACAGTCAACTCTGGATGAAAGCAGAAAATCTACCAGATTGGGGCAGAATGTGATGCTTTTGACATATGTTAGCATCTTCTACCTTCCGCTAGCCTTTTGCACTGTAAGTTAAAATATGCATTAAATCAGCACGACAGTTTCTGACGTACGGTAGTCTCTATGGGCAACTACATCAACCTTTGGCTTCCACAACTTGATTGGAGTCATGGTTGCCACTGGAGTTGCGACATATGTCATCGCATTTAATCTCAAACGAATATCAGAATTTTATCAAGCTAGGAGAAGAAAGGTGGTCGGTTCCATGCTCAAGGATTCAAATTGGGAAGAGCTGGGAGAAGGCTTCAAGAAATCATTTTCTGATGATGATAGCCTGGGGCCATCTGAGTGGTGGATTTTCATATACTTTGTACGGACTTTTTTCAAAAAGAGCCGCAGCGATGGCGGAGGCAAAAAGGGAGATGACGGAACAACGGTGAAAACAGTTCCGGATGGCCATAAAACGGAAGACTCCACCGCTTCAGACAACATTAGGAAATCGGGTGACGGTCGAACCGATCGAAATGAGAATGTGCCTCAGCAAACCGCTTTCAAAGAAGTCGTTGGGCCTGCAGACGGGAGCAAAGTTGAAGGTGAATCTAGCAAGGGGATGAGTAAACAGACCATAGCGCCTCACAAAAATAACTGGTTTCCCTTGAGGAGGAACCGGGTCCCATTTTCAAATTATTCAAAAAGCAAAGAACCTGACATTGAAGGACAGAAATCAAGGTTTGATTCAGGGACAGACACCGGGAAGGGGAAAGGAAAAGACATGGCGAGGATAAGTGACAAAGAGGAGACGGAAATTGAGAAAGGAGACGGTGCAATTGTTTAGTTAATAGGGGCGGAACGCTTATTGCAATTTATAATGTCAGCTATTTCAGCAGGAGGACGGTTACTAAGGATCATGTCGCGAATCTGCGCATGCTGCGACTCCGCAAGGTTCGGATCCATTCTAGGGAGTGATGTGCGTTCGAGCGACACTCTCGTCGACGGTCCTTTCAAGTATCTCGTGCATATAAGGGAGTATAGATCTAAAATAGAAATAAAAAGTTTCCGGAGGGAACCTTATCGGAGCCAAAATAGGACCCGCCCCTACAGACAAGACGAGGAAAGTGCAACCGGACCTCAAGGGAGCCAAAACAAGCCCCTGCGGATACTAAAATAGCTACTCAGGCTTATTTAGCGTTGCTCAGGTGGCGCTCAGGCGATACTCAGGAATGCTCACCCTTAGCTTAGGCTAAAGCAGTAGTTGCTCAGGTCTAGAGACGGAAATGGAAAATGGCATGAGAACATTCCCATACCGAATTACCTGTTTCCCACCTTTCCTAGCCAACTGATACACTTAGTGGGAATTGTAGTAAGGTCGACAAAGTACATATATGCTTAGAGCAAGGTATTCTATAATACAGTAACTATTAACGCATATAGGGTAGAAGTTAATATATAGATTTATCTCACGGCAAAGGCTAGTGTAGCTCTGGTCGCCTAGTATTATTAGCCAGCCTCCCTTTCCACCTTCCTAGGTACATTAGATAGGTCAATACACATCGATCTCTCCTCAGCTGGAACCTCCGACTTAGTTGGGCCTTCATCAATCGATATAAGACCCTGAAATCGAAGCATCACTCGCTAAGAGTTAAGAACTCTAAACAAACGTACACGGTACACTTTATTGGATTACTGGATAACTAGTATTCGGTCTAGGCACTCATCACAATTCGTATTTGTGGTTGGGATATTTTACTGGTCAAAAGGGTGTGCCTAAGCTAAGGCCCCAATTTCTAACAGTGGATGCTATGCTGAGTAATCTTTTCCAAGATGGTCGAGATTACATACTCTATTATATTAATCGCGAGGTTTCCACCTTCTCGCCTAGTTTCCGGTAAACTAGGCGAGGTACAGCCAAAACGACCGTTATACCGAAAACGACCGTCCCTATATAATTTTACTAGTAATTCAATGCCAGCACCACCACAACCATTTCAAATTAACCTTTTGTGATTTTTTCCGGCTAATTCGACATCAGCGATATGGGAACACCTTCGGCTGAAGAAGAGGGTTGTATCTAGCAGGCTATACAGGCTATACAGAGGGGTCAATTCACGTCCTGGAGGGCTGCAGCGTGTCGATATACTGTTCGATATAGGGTCCTTATTGCCTGCGCAAAGGGTATGCCTCCTAATTTATCTCAGGGTGGTTGAAATATACGTCTAAACGATGTGCAAGACGCTGCTTTGAAGCTATATTGCGAGAGGTGTATTAAGGCAGGCTTGAATCCAGAGCGCCAGTATATTCGGGCTGCTGCAAATAGTATATTATATGCTGTAGGGGAACCCCTAGTATTGAAGCCCTGGCTAACTAGGTGGCTGAATAGGAATAAGCAGTTCCTTAAAGCTCGACAATCGAAGCCCTTATCAGCTGAACGTAAAGCTGCAGTCGAATGGGCTGAAATTGAGTCTCACTTTTGACGATTCCGACAAGTAGTCTCTAAGTATAACGTTACCCCTCAAAATATATAGAACTGCGATAAGACTAGCTGGAGGATTGGAATGCTTGGAGGACGTTTAGTCTTTACCTTTCCGAGTATATCAGCAGTATATATATCGGATCCAGATATACGAGAGTCCTTAACTACAATTGAAGCAATCAATACAGAAGGAGGCCGAGCTCCTAGCTTCATGATACTCCCTAGCCAGGTCTTGCTAGTGAAGTACTTTGATAACGATATACTGAATGATGTTACCTTTACTACAAATAAGGAGACTGGATCTGGGTTCTTGAGTGATATGATAGCTTTGGATTGGCTAGAGTACTGGGAGGAGGCAACTAGACCTGGTATCAAGATAAGAAGGGGTATTATACACTCTGGAGAGTATTGGATCCTTGTTATGGATGGCTACAGATCTCACCTAACGAAGGAGTTTATCGATTACTGCTGGGATTATAAAATAGTCCCTTTCTTACTCCCTGTACACTTAACATATATCCTCCAGCCACTCGATATTGGGATATTTCACCTAATGAAGGCTCAACACTAGAATATCCTAGCTAAACAAGTATGCTTTGGTAGGTGTGAATACTCAAGGACTGACTTCTTGGATGTATATAATGAAATATGTATACGTTCAATAAAGAAGCACTTAATTATTTATATATAGGAGAGTTCAGGGCTTGTGCCTTTTCAACTATATATTGTTCTCAAGAATGTACGGAAGTTTCAACCCTACCAGGAGCCTAACCGTACGCTAGAGCCAGAAGAGTGCTTCAATATTGAGTGGGCTAACTGCCAAACCCCTTAATTAAAGCTTCCTGATATATAGCGATATTCGGCTTATATTGATTCTAGACTAACTGGTGTAATAGATGGCTCAATCCCACTCTCCCCTACAGTTGTACGGGTAGTTGAGAAGAGAAATAAGGCTCAATCAACTATTGCTTTGAATGGAATATTAGCTCTGGAAGAACTAGACAAAAGAAGGGCTAAGGAGGCTAGAAAAGCTCGGCATAAGAAGGACGGTGGCTAGCGGTGTATTGCCTCTGATTACGGGGTAATTAAAGCAGGGGATGCAAGGCTACGGATAGCTGGAAGGGAGCAATATATTGAGCAAAAGAGGGCTGAAAGGGCTCAAAAGATTACTGAAAGGATCAATAAGGTTGGAACGCAGAAGTGGGGAGTGATATTGAGGGCTGTAGCTAGGAGGGGGTGTGATTGGAAGCCTAGGGATCCTCTTGTTTTGAAGCGTTATAATCACTGGATGGCTGAAATGTTAAATTTTCATCGTACTGGGAGCTGTACACTAGTATTTCTTAATTAATTAATAGGGGCTAAGTAACTTTGAAATGGTTGTGGTAGTGCTGGCATTGAATTACTAGTAAAATTGTATGGGGACGGTCGTTTTCGGTGTAACGGTCGTTTTGGCTGTACCTCGCCTAGTTTACCGGAAACTAGGCGAGAAGGTGGAAACCTCGCGATTAGATGTATATATTCTGATAAGAAATATTTCGTATATTTCCGATGTGGTGTAACGGCTAACATCGCCCGCTTTCATCCGTTTAACGGCTCCGGGCAGCTCCGGTTTCGACTACCGGCATTGGAACATCCTGTTTCCGGCTTAGACTGCGGAAAAAAAATCTTTTTATCTTATAATACCATTTTTTTTGAGTGGTAGGTGGGGAGTTACCTTTAGGACAAAAATTTGTTGAATTTAGTGAGGAATCTCGGTTAGCAGCACTTGGTAACCGAGAAGAACACGTGATGAGGCAGTTTAGGAGCGGTCCAGGCGGGTACGAAAGCTGCCGGCTTCGACGGCCTAAACTGGAGAGCTTCGACATATTGAACTTTAATGTTTTATAGAATTATTAATAAAGCCTTAAAGGTTTTTAATAATTATAAATCTAAAATAATGTTAGACTTCAATATCTTAAATAATTGTCAGTAAAGCCTTAAAGGTCTTCTAATGATTATAAATGGAAGAGAATCGCTAGCCTTTAGAAGGATAGCGTTTAGTCTTGTATATATAGAGATATAATCTTCTGCTTATTATATATCCCGTGTTACTCCTCAGGACATTGACAATGACAACTAAATTGTTGGCATTCTTTGACGTCTCAAATCTAAGGCCAGTAGAGTCCAACGAGGATGCCTCCGGTGCTCTCGTTCCACCTGAGTACCTCAAGAGACCTTTTCTCTCTAGTAAAATTGCAGGCAGCGAATTCTTCACAATTCGACAACTTGATTGAGAGCAAGGGAAAGGGGCTAATAATCTTATTACATGGACTACCAGTGTGGGCAAAACATTCAACGCTGGTCAGTCAACACCACGCAAATGAGATTACCTTGATCCGAGAATAACTCAACCCATATCGCGGACTACTCACAAAGACCTCTCTATACTCTCGGTAAGGCGAAATTTACCAATGCGCCCTTTCCAGGGTCAGGTAAATCATTATCAGCGATCCTTGCCAGAGCATCGAAGTGGAATGCGGTAGTATTGCTGGATGAAGCGGACGTTTCATGCAAGAAAGAAGTGCAAACGAGATGTTTCGAATGAGCAGATCTCTAGTTTGTATTCCACTCTGTCTTCTGGCAGTAGCCTAACGGTTCTGGTATAGTGTTTCTGCGCATTCTGGAGTACTTTGAAGGAACTATGATCCTCATCACACACCGAGTTCAAACAATCGATGCAGCCTTCAAGTCCCGAATTCACCTATCTCTCAGAAATCCTCCCTTATATGCCAAATCCAGTAGCCGGCATTGGGAAACGTTTATTCTCAAAAGCACGAAACAACGGTGCTTTCGATGGCTAGATGCCAAATTTCTCAAGAAGGAATCTGCGGCAGATATTAACGGGCGAGAGATCAAGAATATCGTACGTGTAGCGCACGCTCTTGCCATCAATGATAAGCAATCGATAAATACGAGGGACATTCTTCATGGCTTACAATATCTAATGGATTTCGAGAGGGATTTTAGCAAAGCCTCTAACAAGCGCAAGATTGTCGAAGGCATTAAATCGTCGATGTCTACGAGAATTAGGCCTTGATAACCGAGAGGGGTATAACGAAGAGCAGCAGAAAGAGCAGGAAGAGCAGAATGAGCATGAGATAAGGCTGAAGGTAAGGGAGGAGGTTAGCTAATGAATCGTTTGAGATTCAGCGGCTCGAGCTGCAAATGACAGATGCCATGTTCAGAAAAGTAAGCAGTAAGCTAAAGAAGTTAGATGATATGGAGTAGAATAAGTCCTTGTATGTTCATCGAATGCAACATTCGCCGTTCTCTGAGCCCGAGAAGATGTAAGCTGGGTCAAATTATATTTTACAGGGCCTCCATTCCAGGAGCTAGATTATGTTCTCAATTCTCATATGCAATATAGTTATATAAGATAATCAGCTGCCGTCGCTATGCAATTCACAATCATGAATTCCTCTTTTAAACTCCAGAATCGCCATATCCCCTCCAACCTATCATCTTCCTCTCTACAGCTCGTCCTTCGCTCCCCCGTTCCCTCTACCTCCCTCATCCACCTTTCCCATATCCACGAGGCCCCTCTTCACCATGCCCGTCAGAATCTCATACACCACCTGTGCGCCAGCTAGCGCCGTCTGCTCGCCTACCCCATCATATGCCGGCGCCACCTCCACCACATCTGCCCCCACCACATTCAGCACCTCCACACCCCTCAAAATCCTAATCAACTCCCTCGTCGTCCATCCGCCCGGCTCTGGCGTGCCCGTACCCGGCGCCAGCCCGGGATCCAGAACGTCGATATCCACTGACAGATACACCGGCGTGTCCGTCCCTATCCGCTGCACAATCCTCTCGATCACCCCCTTCGGACCACCGATATCATCGATATCATCCGCACTGATGCGTAAGAAACCCTGACGGTCATCGTCATCATAGTCATCCCAGCCATCACCGCTCAGCCTCGTTCTCAGCCCGGCATGCACCGACGACCCATTGAGGATCAAGCCCTCATTACTCGCCATCCAGAACATACTCCCGTGATTAAAATGCGCCTGCTCGCTCGGCCACGGGCTCGGGTACTTTGCCGGATGCCAGGTGTCCAGATGGGCATCGAAATGCAGGACGGCAATGGGACCATGGTGTTCTGCGAGCGCTCGCAGAGCCGCCAGCGCGATGCTATGGTCGCCACCCAGTGAGACAAGCTTCGGGCGTGGCAGAAGCGACGAGGTGGCAGGTCGGTGCAGCAGCTCGCGGTAGGCGGCGGTCATCTGGGTGAGGGCCATAGCGTTGTCCATAGGGGTGACGGGAACGTCGCCGCAATCGAGGAGGGTAGCCCAGGACGTGTAGGGGTTGATGCCAGCACGGGGATTGAAGCCGCGGAAGGTGGTTTGGCGGGCGGATGCGGCGCGGATGGCGCGGGGCCCAAAGCGTGCGCCTGTGATAGTTAGAATAGTGTTCGAAGCATTTGATCTGCGTAATCTCTGATATGTGGTAGATTGGAGCGGTTGATCACGACTACTCGTACTCACCTGGCCTGTAACTAACAGCCGTATCAAACGGCACCCCAATGACCCCGATATCAAAATGGACATCCGGCTTCATCAAGCACTTGACATAATCTAAGTGCGCAAAGGTCGAGATGCCTGTGAAGGACCACTGTGCAAATCAGCCTCATTCTGAATATGTTGCACTCAAAGCAAGGCGTTCCAACCATCCTCTCCGCTCTGTCCTATGAAATCACAACACTACCTCAGAAACCAAAGAACCCCTTAACATCCGACCCACCGCCCGCTCTGAAATAAAGTCAAAGACAAAAAAAGGGAAAGGAAAAAGGAAATATATTAAAACAAACTCAGAAGTCCCTAAACACCCCCAAGTCCCTTCCGTAATGTCCATCCCCTCTCACCACCACATCCACCACAAATCTCGAACCCCAGAAGTACAAGAATTCAGATAGCAGAACCATATAAAACAGGCTCAACTCACATCAACTCCCCACTTCCTCGCCAACTCCTCCGCGTCATCCTGCGTCCACTCCCCCTTTCCGGCCTCCTCCGCCGGAGAATGCGCCCGCGCGCACGCCAAGAGCCTCCCGATCAGAAGCAGCGCTGTGAAAGTGAATCTCATGCTCGTATACTTTGTATTTGTCCTATCCTAATTTTTCTTTTTCAGATTCCGAGACTGGGATTTTGGAATTTTGCAGCGTAGATGTGAAAGAGAAAATTGTAGTGACATGGGAATAGATTATTATAGTGGGGGGAGAGGGGGCAGGACAGGTCCACTCCACGCTCGCACAGAAAATGCAAACTTTGAGTCAGATAGAGAGAGGGAGAATGAAACAAAGAATAAGCGGTATGACCAAAATTGAATAAGCGATGAGAATGTATGAGTATATATATATATATGAAATCGCGAGAAGATACGGCAACGTTGTGGAACGAAGTTATGGTACAGGGCACGACAGGAGGAAATACCTACCTAGGTAAGTAAGTCCAGCCTTCTCTGCCCATTTACCTTTGGGTCTGGGTCTACCAGAGATTCAACAAGGGGATCGGCGCGCACCGACCGGCCGGTGGGGGGAATGGATCGATAGTGATAGCGTAAAACGAAGTACAGGAATGGTACCACGCGGCCAAGTGCAAAAGGGACCGGAGAGAGTGGGAACGAGTAAGGTACGGTAGCAGAATTTCCAGGGAGGAAGTACTTGTTCAGTGCTTGCATGAGGATACCGAGGCATTGGTGCTGTAGATCTGGGAGCTGTGAAACATGCATCCCACTTTCGGATCTGATGTTAGCTAGGATGGGGCTGTTTATGTGGTCTGAGCTTCTCCGGAAATTGTGTGGTGCGCGGATGGTGATGAACGGAAGGAGTTTCGAAGGATGCTAATCGAGGGAATTGGAAGGTTCAGCGGTGATGGACCAATGTCTTTCAATTACTTGCGCAGTAATTATAGCACGGAGGAGAGTGGTACTGGAGTGCAAGATAAGGTAGATCTAGACGGGACGATGGACTATCATCTGTGAGTTAACCGTTGAGATGCACGGATCTGTATGGTTCTGGAACTTGAAATGGATGCCTGCATACCTTAGATTTACGTACAGAGTGAAAGTCTGACCTCAAAATTAACTCTATATCTCACCACGCCCCCCGAACTCCTCACTCATGCAGAACGTGGGACATAGGTGGTTCAGGCACGGTGAAAGCTTCACTGACTTACCTCATCCCATGCAGAGGAGCATCCCATTCATGCATCAACTAAATATTGAAGTTTAAATGAGCAAAAATTTAATAAGTAAAAAAGGCTACGAATTTGATTGTATGACTTTCCCCTCCCCGTTAGACGCCAGGACTTTGTAGATTCAAGCAGTGACAAAGGAGAGAACATGCGTGGCGAGTAAGAAGCGCTGCTCTGATGGTCTTGAAGAGTCTCTCCCCTTCCCTTCCTCCTCTCCCGCCCAATTCCCCTTTGCAGAAGTAAAATAATTCTCTCGCCGCCTCGCCCCTGTCATCTGTCCGCTGTTCGAGGGATGTCTAGATTGGTGTGATGTGATATGGTTGTGCGTGGTGATGGGGTGGGTGTGTGTGTGATGGTTAGTACATTGCACCTATCAGGCGGCCCGCTCCTGCTC